TCCCCTCCTACTATGAGTGAAATACCATCCGGTATTTTTCTTTTTTCTTTCTGGCTTATTTCACTATTCACAATCCCTTCTAGCTCCATCCATGTTGCTGCAAAAGGCATGAGATTCTACAGGGGTGAGGAGGGAAATAGGATCAAAACTGGGGCGGGAAGAGAGCATGGGACTATGGTGATGGCACATGGATGAATTGGTATTGGGAAGTCCACTGGGATTACAACTGAGATGAAAAAATGCACAAAATGAAGAATGATGAAACACATAATAATAAATACATAAAATTAAATATAAACAGTATTAAACAACAACAAAAATGCCTCCAGTGTTTTTATAGATTTAGCTTTTCTTTATGATTTTCTTTTCTCTAGCTTAAAAAGTACAGTGTATAATACATAAAACGTGCATAATAATTTGTCAGCGGATTCTTTATAGCTTCTAGTCTATAGCAGGCTATTAGTAGTTAATTGGGGGGGGGGGTGTTCAAAAGTACTGTGAGGGTAGTTGGTGCCCCAACCATATTATACAACGGTCGACGATATATATCACATATATTGGGATATTTTGTAACCATTGGACAACAAATGACAGCACATGGTGGTAGCTGATGCCAACAGCCTTTCTGTTGTCAACTATGTAGGCCTAGCCGCCATCTAGGCACCCCCGTGTGTATTATAGTCATTAGCAGAGTGTGTTGAGGAGGGGGCGGGAGAGGCTGCGTGCTTTTCTCCCCTGCCAGTTTCCTGTCGTTTTACACTGCATTTATTTCTTTATGATAAATTCTGCTTCCCCTTCCCCTTATAAAGGGAAAGGAAAAAGAACAGTAGCGCCACTGTGTGGCGGCTGCAGATTCGGGGCTGGGGGTTGCTCAGAATCGCTTATTTGTACCCATAGCTCTGCCGTTTTTCTTATCACATGGTGGTGTTTTTCTGTGTGCATGAACTGTAATCAGGGTTGAAAATCTTCCTCCTCTTTGGAATTATTGTTTCTCCCAAGCAAATGCAACAGACCCTTATATCCGAGACTCTGCTCATGCATGGTGAGGAGCGGGGATGGCCTTCTGCCTGTTCCCAAATGCAGTTTTAGTCTGAATACAGGAATTTTGGCAGCAGTTGGGGCCAAGAACTCCTGTTTCAGATCTTGCCAGATTCCTGCACCCTCCCCCCTTCCTTTCCAAGCCTTGCATCGTTAGCAGCTCCTGGAAGTCCTTTCTTGAGTTGTCATTCCAGCTGCAGAAAAGTAGATAAGACCTGGGAACAGATATCTCCCAGGGGCCACATGATACTTAATATGTCGTCTTCCAGTAAAGGATCGTGACCACAGCGCCCATTTAGTTTTAGAAAAGGAATGTGCATCATGATTCTTTACTTTCCAATGAAATATGTTAGTAAATTAAACAATGTCATCACGAGCTGGCCGCAGAGATTGGAACTCAGGCAGCTTCTCTCTCGTTGCAGATTTTGGACGTCGGCTGGCCTGAGCTGCACGCACCGCCCTTGGACAAGCTGTGCACCATCTGTAAGGCCCAGGAGTCCTGGCTCAACAGCGATCCCCAGCATGTCGTGGTCATTCACTGCAGGGTGAGCACCGTCCACTCTGCAGATCGTGTGGGGCCTCCTCCCACCCTAAATCCACCTGCTGGTTAGATGTCTCTAGTCATCCTTTAGAAATAAGAGACATTTAACCTCCCAGAATTTGGTTTCAAAATGTACAGGATTGAGGTCCCTGCTTTGCTGAAACTAATGAAGAATACTAATGAGAGTGATCCTTTCACTTGTGTGTGATTTTGTTTCTCACAGAAAAAGGTTATTATTATTTTTTTAATCTGAGATAATATTGGTTTATAACACAGTGCATGTTTAGGAGTGCTGGCTCCCGGTTGTGCAAGTAAGTACAGGGCAGGTTCACTGTCAATTTAAGCACACAGATAAAGAGCATCCCAGAGCTCTACATAGCTTCTGCAGGTCTTTAATGTTGGAGACACAGCACACCAGGCAGGGAGGGTTGTTGGTGTTTTGCAATCATCCAGGCCAGGTAGGTTCACCACTGGTTTAGGCAGATTAAAAGAGAACCTTCGAGCCGTTGGCATCATCCCCATAGGTTTTTTAATAGTACACAGGGGAGAGAAGCCAGCAGGGAGACAGCAACTGGGCTCCTGCAAATGTCTATATGTTCTTCCCTCTGGGCTTCCTCTGGCATCTCTCGTGGTCTCTTCCTCCCACAGCCATTGGCGGTCTGCTGGTAGCCCTCTGCCACAGCCGTTCTCTGTGACACTGCCTTAGATCCAGGCAGAGGGGTCACATCCACACCATGCTCCAGGTGTCCATAGTGACAGGTGTGCCTCTCTGCCACGCTCCCGAGAGCATTCTGCATTCAAGGCCACAGGTGATAGCCACAGAGGCCAGCAATGTAAAAACCAGACCAATTCACTTTGCTTACAGTTGAGCGGTGGTCTCGGTAGGCAATCCAGGCAGGGGTGACTGGGAGGCAGGCAGGAACCCCAGTCTCCCAAGCTCCCATGAATTTTTGTGTGCTTTCTCTGGTATTCTCAGTTTTGTGGCATCCTGTGATCTCGACACAGAGTGGTCCTTTTTGCCGTCTCATCAATGAGTGACACCACCCTTCTGACACCGCCCTGGTCTCCTGGCACAGGTGTTTATACTTACAAATGTGCATCAACATGTGCCATGGGTCCAGGTGTCCATAATCACAGGCATGTTGCCATGTACCCAGGTATCCACACAAGCCTAATTGACTCATTTACCCTATACGCACCCATTTCCAAATGCCTTTAGCCATACTCTTCCCACTAGCAAAGGACCAGAACCTTCCACCACAGTCTTCTGGACCACTCACCCTTTGCTGCTATCCTTCCTTTCCCTTTGGTAGCCTGGGTTCTACAGTCAGAATCGAAGGTTTTTTTTTTTTTTGACTGTTCATTTCTTTTGTTTCTTTATATTGGACTTCTGAGTAAAATAAACTGGTATTTCTCCTTCTTCCTCTGACTTATTTTACTTAGGATAATGACCTGAAGTTCCACGATGTCTCATAAATGACAGGATTTCATCATTATTTATACCTGAGTTGTAGTTCATTGAGTTTATATAAAATCTCTTCTCCCTTTCCTTTTTCCTCTTCTTCCTTCTCCTCCTTCTTTCCTTTTCCTCTTCTTTCCCTTTTCCTTCCTCATTTCCCTCCCTCTTTCCCCGCCTTGCATCCCACCCCCCAGGCAACCAATTAAATGATAGGGAATGCCAACCAAAAATGATGACTTTGGTTTGGGAATTGTCAATCTTTTTACTTTTTGACAATAATTGTATAATTGGACTAGTCTTTTATTAAACAAACTCCTAGTTCCTGTTCATAAAATGTCATCAGACAGTTCATTTAGAGAAAGTCTAAAATAATGTATAAGACACTCTTGGAGATATAAAAATGAAAATATGTGTTTTCAAAAGTATACCAACTCAAGAAAGAAATAAGTATGCTAACCTTCATCTTTGTGGCTTGTGATGAGGTGACTGTTAGGGAACCAAAATTCTCAAAGCATGTGCTTTAAATTTCTTACTGTCATGTGAGCAGACAAATACTATATAAACATCTATGGTTGAATACAACCTAGTCAAATAGGATTTCTTGATATAATTTAAAGAGATCACATAAAAGGATTTATAAAATAATTTACATCATTGTGAAATAGAAATAATCATGGTAATCCACTCATTTTGACCTCTGTGAAGTCAGCTTTCTCCCCGTCACACTCACGTGCCTCATCACTTGACATCTTCTTCTAACCTGCAGAACATTTCACAAAATAGTTAAGCTGAACTGTTTTTCAACTAACTTTTTTCAAAGAGGCTACTCCCATGATTGTTTTCCACTGAAATTTCCTATTTGCAAGATGACAAAATAGACTTAGATCTTCACCTGTCTGCTGGTTACCTATATGCATATCATATCTCTGTGGGTAAGAAGTGCTGGCTGAAAAATAAGTAGATCTTCCAACATAGCCAGAGGAGAAAGTTAATTTTAGAAAGTCACCTGAATCATGAAAACTCTCATAGCAGTCTGATTTGTTCCAGGGTTCTTATTGAGACTTAAGGGACATATGAGTCCTTGCACACAGGATTTGTACTTGTATTTACAGCATTAGACTTTTCCAGCCACCATTCTATTGCGAGGTGATTTGTTATGATTGCTGCAGGATGAAAGCATGAGGATGCTTACTTTCATAGTCAGAGTTGGCAGTAGACCTCCTTTTTCCTGTCTGGTGGATCAGAATACCCTTGACACCTTCTTGAGCAATGCCAACTTGGTTTACAGCTGGTTACTCTTGGATTCCCTTCGCAGCATTAGGGACTGGAAACAGATGTGGTAGAGGTAGTATTGATCAAGCAGATGAAGGTATTAAGACATGGTGCTGGGTTGGGGGCTGAACACCCATACCACATCTTCTTTATTCAAGCACCTGTCGATGAACATTTAGGTTGTCTACATTGTTTGGCCATTTGAGGATTGTAATTAGCATTACAACAAACATAAAGGTGCACATAGGTTTTTGAATTTGTGTTTTTGTTTTTGGATAAGTACCTGGAAGTGGAATGACCAGATCATGTGGATGCCTTTATGCCCTTTTCGATAAAGGCTGTGCCAATTTACATACCCAGCCAGCAGTCTATGAGGTTTCTTTATTCTCCTCACCCTCACCAACACTTCTTGCTTTCTGTCTTTTTGACTCGGGCCATTCTCCAGTTGCAACATGGTGTGTCACGATAGTTTGGATTTATGTTTCCCAATAAGAAGTGATGGTGAACATTTCTTTCGTGTGACTGATGACCATCTCCAAATGTCTTCTTTGGAAAAGTGTCTATGTAGATCTTATGCCCATTTTTTGAATTAGTGGTTTTTGTCATTGTGTGGAAAGTAACTTTTTAAGAGAACGGCACTGTTAGTCACATAGTGTTCACCTTTCTATCCTACTTGAATTAGGGCAGTTGAGTGACGTGAGGTTGCAAGCAAGAGGCCTTTGTGGCAGACACGTTGTCCCGTTCCAGTGGGCTGCCTGGTGGGGCCTGGCAAGTTGTCCTTTGTAGCATGGTGGTTGGGACATTTGAGTGGGTGAATTTATATAAGCAAAACACTCAGTAACTGTACTTTCCATAAGTCAGCACAGAGGACTGATGGAGTGTCTACTCAGTATCTCTGAGGCTCACACTTGACACGCTTGACGTACTTGTCACACTTTATGGGATAGGAGACCAAGGGATCTTGGGGGAGACATTCACGTTTGTGGGTTTGTCAGAATTTTGACTTGAATTTGCTTAGTCTTTCTCTTTAAGAACAAGCTCAGGGCTCTGTGTATTGATTGCCTTGCCATTTTGGTCTCAAGTGATTCTCGATCACAGGCGCCTACCTTTTCTTGTAAGACCCAGGCAAAGGAGTATTCTGGTCTCCGGGTCCTTCTGGTTCATGCCTTAAGTGCTCACACTTTTGGTTGCCACGTTAAAACAGCCACTAAGCTCCCTAAACAACTCACCACGTTCCAAACACACTGCATTTATGGACACTGAAATTTGAACCTTACGGAATTTTCATATGTTGTGTGGAATTTAATTCTTTGACTTTTAGGGGGAACTATTTAAAAGCAGAAAAAAACACTCTTCTCACCATTTGAGAGGACACAGGTGGTGGGGAAGAGGCCTTGGCTTGTTGACCTTTGTTCTGGGTTCTGGCAGTATGGTCTAGAAGGTGGCAGTCTGTGTTTCAGGGTGAAGGTGGCCTGTCAGAACAATGATGCTTCCAGACACCTTGTATGCATTAGTCATTTGGCTCGTGGTGTCTGCCTGCATTGGCAGTGCCTGTGTTTGTGAACTGCATGATGCCTGTTTGGTTGGTGGCCCCTGTGTGTCTGGACAGGGCTGTCTCAGGTGCTGACCACGTTGTGAGGCTGCCAGCAATCTGCTGCCCTACTACTTGGACTTCTCTGGACTGTGTGTGTGTACCCTCAAACTTTCAGCCTCTAAGAAACTGAGGTCTCTCAACCTGGGTAATTAATCAGTCTTGCTAATGCTTGCACTCAGCACTGTTTTGTCAAGCCTCATTGGGAAATGGCTGTCTGCTCCTCAGCAAATCTGCCCTTAGGGGAGTCCATGGATACCCCAGGTAGCATCTGTTCCTGCCCTGGGTACCTAGCTCCCTAGTGAAAATCAGCATGCATGTGTCCTGACATGAGGCATCGGAATCACCCCCCAGAGAAAGCTGTAAGCTCCGTGCCTTGCCTTCCGGACTGAGCACTTTCCAGTTCTGATTACATCACTGTCATGGGATTCCTTGAACAATGCTTCTTCTTCTGTCCCCCATAGGGTGGAAAGGGACGCATCGGCGTGGTCATTTCATCCTACATGCATTTCACCAATGTCTCGGCCAGGTAGGAGGGAGGCTCTGTGGCTGTGTGCCGTGGGGAGACCTGGGCTGGGGGTGTGTGTGTGGGGGTATGGATGGGGTGAGCTGGCTGGAAGGCTGGACTTGGTGGAACCTCTGCCCTCTGCCTCCCGGGGCCTGGTCCCAGTTCCAGAAATGTTCACACTCTGCCAAAGACATTTTTCTCGTTGCACAGTTGTATTTGATTCATACTAAAGGCTTCCTTGGAGGCATGAACATAGAGTGCTGTCACACTCGAACAAAAATTGTGTTATTACAAGCAGGAAAGTGCTGTGTCCCTGGACACTGTCACGCCCTGTGACCAGGAGTGCACACAGTGCTGTGTGCCTGCGCTGGCATCCGCGAGGCCCCTCTCATGCCTTCCTTTACTCTCTAAGCCTTCCCCAGTAACCAGGAGCTCTGTCCTGGCTCTCACTTTGCAGACAAGGGAACTGAAGCTTGGAGTTTGGCAACTTGCTCTCGATGGGGAGGTCCCTGAGAGTGGGAAGCCAGGTCTGGTCTGGTTCTCAGGAGGTGGAAGAGGAGTCGTGAGCTTGTGAGGTGTCACTGTGAGTGTGGGGGTCGCCAGAGACAGCGGGCCTCATTCCAGCCCTGCCCGACTGAGCTGGCAGCACGTGCTGTGTCCAGACACACTTCCCAAGCACACAGCCCCACTCAACGCTGAATCCCGATTAAAAAATATCACTCTTTATGGGCCTCACATTTGCATTTGCCCTCTCTTTCAATGGCTACTTTGTGAAGCATGAACCACTCCACTTGGCGGAAATACAAGCCTATTCATATTAGCCGATAAACTGTTCTTTTCAATCATTAAGGAGTGAAATTTAACTTTCCCAATGTTTTCTCTGGAAACAAATTGGGGAACTCGTGCCTGCCAGGGAAGAAACCCAACTCTAGTGAAAATCAGATCCCTGCGTGGTGATAATGAGCATTTGTGTGTGTGCCAGACAAATTGAGATTCCTGGTCGCATTGAATCCCTTACTGTAGTGAAAAGCATTTGGTCCAAGAGCAGATTTTGCCTGCGGGCCCTGGACAGAGTGCACCCTCACATTTTTGCCTCTGACAACGCAGCTCTGTCTGAACCCAAGTCATGCTCTCCGTGGGCAGTCCTGGCAATTTGTAAAGAGAGTAAGAGCTTCATTCTTTTAAGCACACCACTGGCCCTCTTTCTGAAAGCACCTCTTTTGCTGAATAATCAATGCATTTCTCAGCGGAGACGTGTCTGGCAAGGGCACGCAGCCAGCTCCCTGGCCCTCAGCTCGTTTGGGCGAAGGTGGTGCCTCCTGGGCTTCGTGTCCGTCCACGTGTCACTGCACGTCAGGCCCTTAGGATGGCGCAGGGCCTCGGGCATCGGCTGCTATTAATGTACTGGTACCCGCAGGAGCTACCGCATTAAGTACTTTTCAGTAATGCAGAGCGACACCATGGCATTTTTGATAACACCCTTTTCTAAATTAACTCTCTCTTAAAATGTGCTCCCCGACACGGTTCCCTGGCTGCAAAGCTTTCCATTCCAGAAACAGGATGTTCTGATTTAAGCGCCCGTTGACATTCCCTGTCCAGATTGCACCCGGTGTGTCTTTAGTATTTCCATTGCTTTTGACCGTTGTCTCCCCTAAATCCTGCCATGGGGATGACATCATTCTCATGGATACATCTTTGACCATGTTTGCTGTTTCCCCTCTTATGGCATCCCCAGGAGCAAAGTGCTCACTTGGGGAGCTCACACGAATGAGCCTCTGGTCACAAACCCCCTCGTATCAAATTGGAGCCGCCGTTCCACAGAAGGGAAAGCACTGTGCTGGCCCCTGAGCCTGGTGTCCTCAGGCGGTCAGCGCTCCTGGACAATGCTACGGCACAGTTAGCAATGGGCCTTGGCATTCCTAGCACTTAGCAAAGCAAGTGAACTTCAGTACAAGGAGTGCTTGGACGTGAGTGGTGGCTGTGGAGTTTTGCTTTTTAAGATAAAATCAGACACACCACATGCTAGCTCTTCAGTGCTCAGGGGTCCACCAGCCCAGCTCCTGAGACCAATGCAAGAGGCGAGTTTCCCTTTGAGAGCATGTACTTCCATGTTCTGGTGCGGTGAATATACCTTCTAAGGGAGGCACCCACTCTTATGTCAGGTTTTAGGGCAACTTTTGTCTGAGACACATCTTGGTTAGGACTTTTTCTGTTCCTGTTCCATTATTTATGGGCCATGTTGTAGGGTTTCCTGGAGAGTCTGCTGAACACGCTGGAGGACACGAGGGAGCAAGAGTGTGTTGGCCACCGTGGCTGGGAAGCAGGGCTGCTTGTGGCAGCCACTTCAGGAGCAGATATGTAGCCCTAGGTTCAGAAGTAGCATCTGACTCTCTGACAGGACATGCGGGTCATCCCCTGCAGCTCCCATGCTCGTCTCCTTAGCTGGGAGATACATGGGGTGTCCTTAACTGTTGCCTCAAGACTGCTGGGGCTGTTGGGTCTTCTCACTGGAGCTGTCTCCTTTGCATAGAACCAGCATGTCAAGGCACTGCAGTCTCACTTCCCCTGTGAGAAACCACAGCCCACAGTTTCCCCAAGAGCTGGGACCAATGTCGTAGATAGGGGGGCGGGGGAAGGGGTGTGTGTGTTGCTCTTCCAGACAAGATTTCAGACCCTGTGGACCTGGCTTCCGTTTTGGCTTGAACATACTCCTGAGAGGGAAATGAAGTCTGAGAAGAGATGCTAGAGTGGATGTCACGGGTATAGAAATACGAAATTCCTTGAAGACGCTAGTTGCCCAGAACAGCACCCCGTGGAACACTGAGATGTTCCGTGAAATTAACTCATTCTCTTTCCTTCCCTAGCGCTGACCAGGCCCTTGACAGATTTGCAATGAAGAAGTTTTATGATGATAAAGTTTCAACTTTAATGCAGCCTTCCCAGAAACGGTATGTATCTGTCCTCAAGCTGAACTGAAAATAAAATGAGAAATTACATTTAAGATATATTGGACAGGGCCCTCCCTGTAGCACAACAGGTTAAGATGCAGCACTCTGAAGCTGTCCGCAGCTACTGCAGTGTGAGTCCGATCCCGGCTAGGGAGGTGACCCGCGACCCGCATGGTGCAGCAGACTTCTCATGTCTCGCCCACTGCTCCCCTCAGCAGTGTATTTCAGTAGGTCCACCTGTTATTCTCCCCACTCTGTTTCTGGTGTATCTTTTCACCAGAAAATAAAAAAAGATGGACAGAGGAGGCATCACTCCTGACTACCAACAATAGGTGAGAAGGGCTGTTATTGCCCAGAGGCAACTATGAACCCCACTGCGTGGGTTGTAGGGGAGCTCTTTATGCCGGCTGTCTCTAAGAAGGGGGCCCATACTCAGCAGTCAGTTCTGTATTCCTGTTGGGTTGAATTCCATTATTAGGTTGGTTTTATGTAGAGGCCCAGGGTTCAGTGCACTGCATCTTTTAACATGCTGGATAATGAATGTTTTGGGCTGTGAAGGTCATGTGGTTTCTCTGTAGGCAATAAAAATGAGTGACTGTTTCTATTGTTCTGTAAGGCTTTCAACACACCTAGGTTCCTAGATGACCAGCTGCTGCACTAGACTTTCAGCTCCTGCGTCCAGGGTGGGGGGGAGCGTCTTTCTTATTGGCTCCCCAGCATGCTTCCCTTTCACTTCTGCTCAATGTCACCCCAAAGTTGCTGCATGCAGCCCTCGGGAAGCAGGTGTTTTCTTGTTGCTGCCTTAGATGAAGAAGAACTGTCAGAGCACCTCAGTGGGGAAGTACTTAGCACTCTCTCTTCCAGGTAAATCTGCCTGGTAGTTGGTGACCCATGGAAGCAAGCATGCAGTTGATTTGTTATTTGAAAGTGTGAAGCAGGGAATTTGCGTAAGAGTTGCCAAGGCAATTGCACCATGGCAATGACGTTCTTGCTGGGCTCCCACCCTCACAATCTGCATTTACAGGACTTGGCCAGCGGACCAGGGTGGAGCAGGGGCTCTTAATCTTGGAGGCAGCATCAGAGGTGTGTTTGATTGAGAGCCTGGTGTCATTTATCCAGCTTGGAAAGATACTTCAAAGGCCAGCAAAAGCCCGTCTCCTTGGGTCCTGGGTGTCTCCATGGCCAGGTTTGTTTGTGTTGGCTGGATGTCTTGCTGTGGGACTGTGGGCCCAGCACAGTGTGCTCTCTGTGCCACACTGAGTAACAGACACCACAGGGAGTGTAAGTCGCTTGTGGAAAAACCAGCATCTTCTTAGTATTACAGTTAAAGAGCCCTTTCCCCCATTTTGAAACCCTCTCATTTTTCTGTGAATTGTTTCCCAAATGATTGTGTTTATACCACCTCCTGTGGAGGAAGTGAAGGTAAGCTCGGAGCAAGCCACTCCTGGTGCTCAGCACATACCAGTAAGTTATTTGCCTTTTTTCTTCTTACTTAGTGTAGATTTTTGATAGCATTGAAAGAATGGGAAAAGGAAACACAAGCATTTTCCCTTTAAGATGCCCGTGACTGTCATTGGTCCTTTGCAATTTGTCCACTGCAAACTGGAAGCTGTCGCTTATGTGTTGTGTAATGATGACATGATGACCGGTGGTGGATTCACCTGTGTTTGTGTGGGTTCTGTTTCTGAGGCTCATCTGTATCCGCAGAACAGGGACATGCTACCTGTACAGCACCTGTGCTGGAAGGTACTCCCCAAGTTGTTACTGAGGGGCTCAACGACTGAGTAAACACATGGGACAAACTGCAGGATGATTGCATCCCAGAAGCACATGCAGTGACCACATTTGTGGGGACACACTCATGACGGAAGCCACACTGAGATCTAAATGCCTCCAGGGGGAGCTCTGTAGACTATTTTTTTTTTTTTTTTAAAGATTTATTTATTTATTAGTACAGAACTGGGGTACAGGTCAGAGATGCGGAGGGTGAGAGGATTCACCAGAGACAGAGTGGGGTGCAGAATAGGCAGATCCACGAAGTACACTGCTGAGGGGAGCAGCGGGCGGGCCAGGAGAGGTCTGCCACGCCATGTGGTCACCTCCGGGGCAGGCGGGGATCGAACTCATGCGGCAGCGGCTTTAGATTCTCAGTGCTGTGCTTTAACCCGCTGCGCCACCAGGGAGGGCCTCTGTAGACTATTTTAAGACAGAAACCATTTCAAAATCAGTCTCATAAGTGTGAATTAGCTAGTTGGGTTTGTAGCTTGAGAAGCTTAAAGCCTCACTGGTGAGCCTCTTCAGAGCTGCCACAACATTCATACTGGATTGATAACTTTGAGGTGGCCACTTGTTAATTTGCAAGAGATTAATTCTCTTTACTTTGTTTCTTACTCTTAAAATCATAAAGCCATTGGCCTATGGGGCCTGCGTGAGCATCAGCTAATCCCAGCAGGGGAACTGTGCTGGGGATGCTGGTCCTTTTTGTGCCTTATATTCTGAGCAGACACTGGGGTATAGCTAGTTGAAACCCTGATGCGATTTCTGCTGTTGCATTAGAGGTGCTGTGAACTTGATGACCCTCTCACTAATTAATATATAATCCTTCTGAGTATTTTTATCATCATGGAACTAATAAATGGCATGGATCCATTTGCCATCTCCTTTCCTCTGTCCTTTTCCTTTCTTGCCAAGGAGTTAAGACAGCAGCACACAAATTGTGGGTCCCATCAGTTTGAATTTAGTTGTAGGAGATGACCAGTAATTGCTTTCTTTAGATTTTGAGCTGGCCTCTGCCTAAGGCTTGGAGCAAAGGGGATCCCTAGGAGGTCCCACTTGGGAGATGTTTTTTTGTAGATGCAGGGAAGAGGGACCATAGGTCTGGGCAGGTAGACATTAGGATGGCCTGGTGTTCCTAAGAACTAGAAATTCCCCAACATTGTACCATTATTTGTTCTTTGATATGTCTGCAATTTTTGGCATACTGCCTCTGGTGTGTGAAAGAATTCTTGAACTTGAGGCAAGGACAATACATAGGGAGTCCAGGAGAGAAAGTGTTTGCTGGGAAGTGAGGCTGTGGCGGTGAGCAGGGCTCCACTCTTTGCCAGGGTGACCCTCTTGCCCCAGCCTGAAGAATGAGGAACTCTTCCTGAAGGAGACTCCCAGCTCTACCTGCCTGGCTGCCCACTCTGAGTCACATTGCCCTGGGCACCGATTTTATCTACTGGGGTGCGTGGAGACCTCTCCATCTAGAATCTATTGTCCCCTTTCCCTCATGGCCCTCCTGGCAGTGATCCTGAAGCAGAGGTCAGACATTGTGCCCTCACATGCCGGGGCAGGGAGTGCTGAGGAATGGAGGTAACTGGCGAACTTGGTCTCACCAACCGAAGGGACAAGTCCGTGAGCACGTCCTCTGTGACCATGAGCATTCTGGGGGTGAGGTGAGGAAGCCTCGATCAGGAGGTTCCTTTGCAGTGACGACTTTTGCACAGGCAAGGGACATTTCATGATGGTTTTCATAATCCTGTTGTCAGGGAAACTGAAGCTATGTCAAGGATGTTTCTCATGTCCAGGGGATTCTAGAGAAACTCAAAATGTACATGTCTGCTTTGGTAAGTGGTTATCAATAATGTAATGAGCAACTGCAAATTTCAAGCTATTCTGGAACATGAATGAAGCATGTGTTTTGTGTTAGTTCCCTACCAACTGAAAGCTTGGTTTCTAAAACTTAATAATTGAAATGAAGGGTAGAAAGCGTCACACCCAGGGAATTATTTTCCTCAAAAGATAAGATAGCTGTGGGAAGGTAATGGAACTATTTGAAAAAAACAGCTAAGTCTTGCAGCTGTGAGAACTCTGTTGACAGAGTGGGAGCTTTCTAATTTAATGAGACTCTTGGGAAGGATTCAGGAGACTTCTGATGCCTGATTCATTCATTCATTTCTCTAGTAAATACCCTGTATGCAAAGTTGAAATCAGTGCATTCTACTGGAAGATTTATTGACAGGATGAACTTAGTGTGGAAACCATGCATCTGCTTTGGTTTTCTAAAAATTTCATCTCTGCTCTGATATTCTTTCCTGTGGTCCCGGTGGTGGACTCCAGGCAGTCTCGTGCAAACCCAGTGCAGCTGCTTTCCTGTCCTTGTATCACTCTCACAGCATGTTCATAAGACGTACATGCATTCATTTCTTTGCCTCTTAGGATAACATTCTGTTTTCCAGTCTCACTCGGGTGTGCTTCTGAGCCTGTTCAGACAGATGGGGGTCTGAGAGGTTTTGGAAATTGCAGAATGAAAATTTGTGCTTCATGAAATTTGAGAAATTCTAAAGCTGCCTTTATATTGGCATTTGTTTTACCATACAAAGGTTTTATTTTCTCCTCTTTTTCACTGATCTAAATTGGTCTGTAATCTTATATGGGTTTCAGGTGTACAGCCTTTAAACTCAGCATCAGTATATACTGATATACTTTGTGTTTGCCACGAGAATTCTAGTTTTCATTCATCAATGTATACTTGACTCCTCTTACCAGATTTACCCTACCCTTCCTTGAGGGAACCATGATTTTGTTCTTAAAGTTTAAGACCTTTGCTTTAGTTTATTTAGTTCATCCATTTATTGTGTATTTCTAGTAACCACATATGGTTGAAATTATGTGTTATTTCTTTCTCTTTCTGATATCACTAAGCATATACAAGCATACACACTGACGTACAAGAGGTGCCTAGAGTGGAGATAGGATAAATGTATGGGTTGAATAGCGCCTCCCCCCTGCCCCCCTATCTTTGAGTCACCAGGACAGAGTTTGCACACTAGCTTCCCACTAGTAGCACCAGCTGGCTATTCTGCTATATGACCTGGCTACAGTCCAGATTCACCTACAGTCTGGAGGAAGGGTGATGCTCCACCTCGGTTGCCATCCTGACCCGGGTGCCTCCTAGCGTCTAGGTCACAGGAGATGGAGATGGGGAACAGGTCCCTCACTGTGAACTTGACCCCAACTAAGGAAAAGTCATCATAGCTGGAGGGAGGAGGCAGGGGTGCTTCCCTGCACTCTGTCCATGCACTTTTCAAAGGCAAATAGGAAAGGCCTCCTTGGTGGCACAACGGGTTAGGACACAGCACTGCAAGCTAGCCACAGCCACTTCAGTGCAAGTTTGATCCTCGGCCCCGGAGGTGACCCACATGGTGTGGTAGACCCCTCCTGACCCGCCCGCTGCTCCCCTCAGCAGTGTACTTTGTGGATCTGCCTGTTCTGCTTCACTCTACCTCTAGTGAAACCTTTCACTGTTCCTGCCCCTCTAGCTTGTACCCAGTTTTGTATCAATAAATAAATAAATCTTAAAAAAAAAAAAAAGGACACACAGGATAATCTTTGTCCTTTGTCTCTCTTGGGAGTAGGATGACAGGACAATGAGTTGGCATTAGGTTTTTTTGGAGACCATTCTGATGTGGAGCTTGATGGCAAGCTTTTGCAATACTACAAAATCAAGAACTTTGACCCAGAAGTTATGATTGTATTGCATCTGATGAACAGTTAACCAAAAGGTGACTTCCACTATTCAGTCAATGCTGGAAAATCACATTTCATTAATCAAAATTACTCTGAAATATAGAACAACCGTAATATTTATCTATTAAGAAGATGTGAAGAGATAAGTTACCTTTTATATTAACATTTTATGTCACATTTACCTGAAACATGAAGCCATGTAAAACAGATTTCTAAGAAACAAAGACGAGAATCCCAGCAGCAGAGGACAAGCTAGGGAAGGTCCAGTGTTGCTGGAGGATGGCTGTTTTGCCCCTCATAGGTCTGTGGAGGCAAAAAACAAACAAGACAATAAAAAACATGTGGTGGGCTCTGGCTTGTCAGAATTGTACTTGCCAGATGCTCTAGCTGGGGCCTGGCCGTAGGACCCTCCACCTCTGCATGAAAATGTGAAATGGAAACTGACCTAGCTTGATGCCTGATCTCATCAGGCCCGCTGCTGTCCAGAGAGAATAAAGGTCTCCTCCCCAGAGTGTAAGTAAGCCCACCAGAACCTCAGGTGTCCATGGGGTAAATGAGCAGCCTGGGTCACTGCTAAGCAGATGGGCTTTGAAAACAGGTGGTGGGGTGAGCAGTCTGCCCAGCGACGGAAGGACTGGACTGCAAGGATGAGGATATGAGGCTAACACCTACACGTGTCTGATTCCTTTTCCTTTGCTCAGAATGAGGGAATCAACATCCCCGGGAAATTCAGTGTGTAACGATGTCTAGGCGACTAGAGAGCTGTGATATTTCCACACAGAAGTGAAGACATCTTGTCATTTAGAAGACAGGACAGGGAGGACGTGTGGAGCCATCTGGTGGCCGGGCCCAGTAGCTGTGGCCGACTGGCCTCCTGGGATTCAGTGATTGTTGTCAGATTTTGTCTTCTAAAAAAGAAGGGAAGCAGTTGCCATGGGAGACATTATGAATGGAACCTAAGCTGAAGCACATTTT